AAAAAAACCATAGTTCAACTTTTATAGCAACAAAACAAAAGGCAGAAAGTCTAACTCGGGTACTGCTGACATTAGGCCACACCCCTTTTTAGGGCCGTGTGGCTCATGGAAAAGTACTGGCCTCTACCACTTCAGGCCATGGGGGAGTTCAAATACACAGTGAAGAATGCTGCAAGATATTTACAAACTCTACAAAAGAGATCACAATGAGACATATTTATAAAATGTTACATTTTTTCTTTATTTTTGTTCTGTCTCTTTACATTCAGGACAAACCCCCAGCAGTCTGTCCTACCATGTGCCCCTCCCCCTAACTGTTATCTCTGCAATGTGCTGACTGAGTTTGCTGCTTGTCTTTGCGTCGACACGACACTCGCTGAACTGACTTGGTAGGTCTAGGTCTATGCAGACTTGTTAGTTTTGGCCAGTCTCCAGTTGCTGACTTGGCATGTATTTAACTGCATGTAGTAACATGTGAAACAACTAGGAAAGATTAGTGGTATTTTTCTAAAGTTAATGTAATTTTTTTCGACAAGGTCATGTATATAATACAATAATTACACAGATACAAAAAGGTAATAAACTGGGGTGGCAGCTTTAAAAGCTGCTCCCTCCTTCACAAAACAAAAAAACAGAATTAAATGAAGTATACCATGTGACAGACGCAACAGACAGGTAGGTGGGGGAGGTGAACCTAGAAACTGCTCTGTACGAATGAAAGAACATCTAAAACGGGGTTTTTTTTTCTTCTAAGTAATAGTTTTAACCAATTCTGTTACATATGATGACAAACTCCACTTTTGACATCTTTGTACCTGCAACTAACTTATTGCTCTGCAGGTTCCTAGAGAAGCAGCTCTGCTCATCGGTAAAAATAAAAAAGTCCTAAATAAAAAATAACAACATTTTACCTTTAAAAATCAACCAAACTGTGCACTGAGACACTTCTGTTGTGACTTGTGCTATATAAATAAACTGAATAGAAACAAAAAGCAAAAAAAACCAGTTGAACTCGGGTACTGCTGACATTAGGCCACACCCCTTTTTAGGGCCCTGTGGCTCATGGAAAAGTACTGGCCTCTACCACTTCAGGCCATGGGGGAGTTCAAATACACACAGTGAAGAATGCTGTAAGATATTTATAAAACCTACAAACTGAACACAATGAAAATGTATAGTTATAATCTGTCTTTTGTTTCCTTTTACCTTTCTTGTCAGTTTTAATTGACAATAGAAAACCATCCAGCAGTCTGTCCTACCATGTGCCCCTCCTTCAAACTGCTCTCTGAACGAGCTGGTTGGGTGTGCTGCTCCTTTTAGCATTCACATGGCACACTCGCTGAACGGACTTGGTAGGACTGGGTCTACACCGACTTGTTAAGTTTGGCCAGTCTCCAGTTGCTGACTTGGCATGTACTCATCTACATGTACCGGGTAATGTATTAGAAAAACAAGAAAAATGAGCGACCCATGAGCATTTTAGGCGAGTGTACTATTTTTTCTACATGGTCATGTATGTTGAATGTATGGCAAGAGTACATTAAATCACAATCACACCTAACGACTAGATAAAAGCTTTCTTTTTTTAAAGAAAGTAACATAAAAAAGGGACATGTGTACAAAAATACATATATGCCAAAATACAAATGTGTCTGTCTTCAATAAAAGTTAAACTCTTAAGCCAAGAGCCAACCATTTTCACGAACACTTTCCAGCTTGGCCTAAGACACCTTCTTCCCATCTTGATGTGATTTATTTAAAGACCAAGACCGTTACAGGTAGAAGCCAACACGCCACTGTTGCACCTCTGAGCCGCCAACGAAGGTGGTGCCAGAGCTGAACAGTCGATATCGCCAGGGGATAACAAGCAAAGGAAACCAAAATAAAAAAAGGGAGAAGGAAGGAAACAAAAATGTGTTCAATTGTGCACTGTACAATTCTGAATGAGAATAAAGTTTATAGCGTAAAGCAAGCTAGGACTACGGCTGGAGGATGTGACGTAGAGATGACAGATGGGACCATTCAATCGCTAGAAATGGAACAGTAGATGTTGGATACATTTTATGCGTGGTGTTCCACGTCGATAAGGCTGAACTGCACTCCCTGCCATCACAACTGGTGATTATGAAAGAGCAGCTTAAACAGCTCATCTTTACGCCAATATTGTGATCATACGTTATGAAAGGTCCCAATATAAGTGACACCTAAATTGGATTATGTATAATTTGAAATAAAATATGAAAAGTCCTATAAAGTCTTGTCAAACAATTAAGTGCCACAAATGCAAAGTTTGTGATCATTTGAAAAAAATAACTGCAGAACTGCAAATGTGTCACAGCACAAAGTACAAGGTCAAGGTTATCAGGCGCTGGTCACACAAATAATTTAACATCGCCTTAAAATACTAAATCTGATTGGTCCGCTAACATTTGCAGAAAACACTCTGCCCACCACTTGGTTTAAATTGATTAAACTGGTTTTAATTTGAAATGAATTTAAACATACTAGCATGGAACGCTTTAGTTATGTGACGAAACGTTACGCTATTCTCAAGTTTTCAAATTTAAGACAACTGCAATAATCATAACCCAACATTTTAGCCTACTTGGAAGGCATTGATAAGTTAACATATTGAGAACATATTAAAAATTAAAATGAAGTTGGTCAAAACCAAATAAATATAGCTGGTCACAACTGCTAGCTAACAAGTTAGCCGTAGCAGGTAACCGTAATTGGTAAAGCTCATTTAAGAAAAGTGCCCCACATTAATTAAAAACAAAAAACATTTTAAATATTAGTTGCAGGTTTTATTGTAAGAGTAAGTTTAAGACGCTGTACATGGATAAAAACGTGAAACAACTGAAACCTTGCTACTAGCATGCAGCACTCACCAGCTTTGTGATGGAGTTTGCTTGAGGCTCCGGGTCTCTGAGTCCCGCGGCTCGGTTCTTCTGGACCCTGCTGGCCTGTCAGATGTGCTGTGAGCTCCACCGGTGTGAACACGCAGGGAAAAAGCTCGGGAGCTGTGCACCACACGGTGTGCTGCGCCTCCGCTCACAACTCCACTGACTCCGACCGTCCGCCTCGCTTGAAAAAATAGGCTCCTCCTCTTTTTGCGCAAACGCACAAAGGAGGGAAAAAAACGTGCAACGGCTGTCGCGTGACGTCGGCTGTCGGTTGGACTCGGCGGACGCGACGAAGTCGCTCGGTGAGCCTTCGCCTGAATCTTTTCTTCACTCTTTTTTAGCCTGCCCTGCTGGTGCCGGCACCAAACGCCGGTACCTAGAACCGGTCAGGTACGTGTGAACAGCTCCGGAGGATCCGGCAGGACTCGACAGGCTCACCGCAGCTGCAGCCGCACGCTCTACAGACATAGCATGGAGAGGGAGGGGCGGGGCTTGTTCATGACGGAGGGAAAAAAGGCTTTGGGGAGGGGCTTAAAGAAAGGGGAGGGGCCAGCTGCGCAGCTGCCCCCCCCCCCCCCCCGAAGTAAAATGGCTTCTTGTTTTCTGCAGTTAAGGGTGTGCAGGAGGTTTCCAGTGGTCCCATGTGCAGTGCTGTACCCACACAGTTGAGACCTGTGACACAGTTCCACCTTGTTTGTTTGTCCTGATTTTTGTTTATCAAAGTGTTGGCACTCGTGACTTGAGAAGACAATACCGACGCCAAGATAATACAAACCCTGGTAATGTGGTGAGCTCTAAAGGTTTTGTTCTTTTTCTTTGTGCCAAGTAAGCAGATAGTGACGTTTTTATTAGTCTGTGATTTGATGTTTAATCGTAATTTATTCACCTTCCAAAAAAACCACACATCCATGTGCAGCAGGTAAGTTGTTTTTCCTGACTGGTCAGCCATTTTGTTGACTCACTTCTACATAAAGAACTCGTAGGTGTTCCACATGAGACCAGCAGAGGGCAACTAGTGGGGAGTTTAAGATCAGAAGCAAACAAATGCATGTCCATTCAGTTCGGTTTATTTCTAAAGCTCCAAGTCACAGCAGAAGTCGTCTCAGGACGGATAAATAAAATAATAATTGAACATTATTTATCTGAGGAGCAGCTCTGAGTTTAACTCCATCACTGAACTCTCATGTTGAACAAGCATGAAGGCGACAGTGGAAAGAAAAACTCCCTCATGAGGAAGAAACCTTTAGCAGAACCAGGATCAGGACAAGCGGACCATCTGCCTTGCATAATAGGTGATCTAAACCCTTCAGCCATCCTCATGTTTATTCATGTTACCTGCTTACAGGTCCATACATGACCCATGTGACCGGGTGTGGGCGTTTGTCTCACGCTTGCTTGATACCCGTCTCACTTCCCTTCTTCATGCAAGTAGAAAGAGTTGTGCTAGCTTCAACAAATCCAGCTAGGCTGCGCTGCAGCACGGTGCCTCCACGTCATTGCCATCAGAAGTGGATGGCTGCGTTGAGCAGATCTTTCTTTTCCTGGGGCAGCAGAGCGCAGACGATCGATCCTGCACGTGCATTGTCCATGCGCTTTCTGGTGTGTCTGGTACACCGACAAGGAAAACTATAAAGGGAAAATCATCAGTTTGACCCATTTTGCCAGAAATAATTTGTCTTAATCAGTACTGTGTGTTTGAATAAATGTTTCTTTTATATTTAGGCTGTACCCATAAGAGAGTGACCTTCAGTTCAAACTCTTCTAGCGTTAACGCAATCTAATGGAAAAGAACAAAGCTACTGCGAACAAACCTTTAAAAGGAGCCCATGAATGCACTGTTCATAGAACCTTTTTATTTTTAATTGAATTTTTTTTTGGGGGGGGGGGGGCTCGATAAAAAAAAAGTCCCTTTCAGTTACTGACAAATGCCTTGATATGACCGCCTTAAAATTACTTCACTTTTTTATTATATTCAGGTTTGAATGTATGAAGCTAAAAAATACACATTTTAAAGTGACGTTTTTGTTAAATTATTATCTTTATTATTTACCTTATCAGCTGTTTTCAGACAAAAAAGGGCTTGTTGAATCGTTTTCCTCTAAAACATGTTGGTGTGAAGGAACGCTACATTAGCAAATAATAAACGTACGTTTTCTCTTGACACCGCTGGTTTACTTTGCTGCTGTCATCTTAACAAAGTCCAGATTACAGAATATCTAATGGAGTCCTTTAATCAAAATCTGTGCAGATGTATCTGCGCCGCTCGGCACAAACAGGAAACAGGACGGTACTTTTTCACTGCCCTGAGACGACTTGTGTTGTGACGATGCCACAGAAATAAGGTGAACTGAAGTGAATTCAGGTCGAGGGTGAGGTTCTGCCTCCACTGGAGGAGTTCAAGTATCTCAGGGTTTTGTTCCCGAGTGAGAGAAGAATGGAGCGTGAGACAGACAGAAGGATTGGTGCAGCATCTGCAGTGTTGTGGACTCTGTGCCGGTCCGTTGTGGTGAAGAGGGAGCTGAGCTATGAGTTTCCTCTGCAGAGCTGGACTCTCTTAGAGACAGGGGGAGAAGTTCAGTTATCAGGAGAGACTCAGAGGAGAACCACTGCTCCTCCACATCCAGAGGAGCCAGTTGAGGTGGTTCATCTGGTAAAGAGCACCTCCCTAGGGCATATCCGACTGGGAGGAGACCCCGGGGAAGACCCAGGACACTCTGGAGAAACTACGTCTCTGTTGATCTGGGAACACCTTGGAGTCCTCCCAGAAGAACTGGAAGAGGCTGTGGAAGGAGATGTCTGGACCTCCCTGCTCAAGATGCTGCCCCCGAGACCTGAGTCCAGAACAAGATGAAGGATGGATGGATTGATTTTTTTTATCCAGTGCTACACCATTTTTCTTTTAATTAATTAATTTATTGTGGCATTAATGAAATAAATTATTTTGAACTGAATATGCACGCACGCTTGGTTTCAGAATGAACCAAGTCAGGATTAAAAGAATGTGTAACAATAAAGTAAGTTATATTCTTTATTAATTCTTGTGGGAAATGTATGGGTTGAAATGATGATCGCCATGTTTATTTTATTAGCACTGGAGCCAAAGCCATATATTTACATACACATATTTATTTATATATACATTTTCTTCTTCTTCTTTCGGCTGCTCCGTTCTTCAGGGGTCACCACAGCAAACTAACTTGCACAAAGATTTGGCAATTATTTTTACATCGGGTGCCCTTCCTGATGCAACCACAGACCCCAAGCTACCACAGCCTTCTGTGTGGAGCAAAGAGCTGCCGTCTAGGGTGCCCAGAGGAGCAGGTGGGGGGGCTTCACCTTTTCCACCCACATTTTGAATTTGTTGGTACCGGGAGTTGAAACGTGGATCTTCTGACCACAGACCAATCTTCTCTAACCTCCTTCCTGAGGGGAGTGGGGCAAAAAGTGTGTGTGCTGGGTGAGTGTGGTCCTTCATGATGCAGGTGGCCCTCTTCCTGCATCTGGAGGTGTAGATGTCTGTGATGGTGGGGAGACTGACTCCAACATCTTCTGTGCAGCCTTCACCACTCTCTGCAAAGCTTTTCGTTGATGCTGGAGCACAGGATGCTCTCCACTGCACACCTGTAGAAGGAGGTGAGGACTGAGCTTCCAGTCCAGCTCGTCTCAGCCGTCTGAGGAAGTAGAGTCTCTGATGAGCTTTCTTCATCAGGCTGGTGGTGTTGTTGCTCCAGCTGAGGTTGTTGTTCAGGTGCACACCCAAGTTCTTGTAGCTGGAGACCACTTCCACCGCAGATCCTCCTATATTCGGGGTGGGGGGGGGGTGGGGGGTTGTTCCTTCTGAAGTCCACAATCATCTCCTTTGTCTCCTTCACATTGATGTGAAGGTTATTCTCTTTGCACCAGCTCTCCAGATGTTCCACCTCCTGCCTGTAGCAGGACTCATCATTGTGATGCATCCCACCACCGCTGTATCATCTGCAAACTTTACAATGTGACAGCCTGGATGGGCAGGTGACAGTGCTTAATATGAGCCGGATCCTGCCGGAACAGGATCTGGGAATTCTTATAGCTTCCACATACTCATGCGGACCTCAGTCCGCGGAGGTCTGCGTGTACCGGATTAGACTCAAAGCGGACTCCCGCAAGGCACGTCCGCACAAAGATAAATTTTTACGACCACGTGCACGTACTCTGTGTCGCACAGTAAACTGCCTGGCAATGGACTGTTTTGTTTGTGACATCAATGTATTAAATTCCCATCTTCATCCCTGGTCTGGTTTAATGGCCTTTTCTTTTCTTTTTTTTTCCAAGAGTCAAGTCTCTTCCTCCTCGGTTGACTCCATGACTGAAATTGTGAGAAATGAAGGAATTTGTCACGAGAGAATTAAACTCAGGTCCAGCGTGGCTGCAGGAGGTCTGGAGATTTCCTGGTGGGCTGGGCTGATGTGTGGGCTGCAGGACCAGCCCTCACTGTTTTTTTTTATTTTTAGACCTTTTTATCGATAACATATAAACACACAACACCGCTGCCGCTTACTGCCAACTCTCAATATGTATATTTTTTGTTTTGTTTTGTTTTTTTGCAACCTGTCAATCAATCCAGTAGGCGTGTCAGCAAATGACCAATCTGTGACCTCAATTTGTCCCGAAGGTAAACACCCCTTACCTGCGGAGCTGGTCTGCAGCCGCTCAGGGTGGCTGTTCAAGTCTGACGTCTGAACCCTCTGCGGACAGTGTGCACAGTGTCCATGCGGACTGAGGACCGCCCGAGTGTGTGGGGAGCCTTTAGTTTGACAGGGTGCGTTCCAGTAACTGTTTGCATGGACCCAGTAACTCTCAGGCTTACTAATAATAAAGTTCTGAACAAATGTGACTCCTTGAACAAAACTTATATTGGATATGCAAACTGAAAATAATTACATAAACACTCATTTTAAATGCAATACAACTTCTTAATATCACATACGAACATCTGTCCCTTCAAGTGAAGCACTTCCACCTCTACCCTTTAAAAATTCTCTGCCGCTGAAAGAGTGATGGGGTGAATGCCTGGAGGTTTCTCATGTGGAGTGGGACAGTGAACTCAGCGGAGAACAGTCGGCTCGGAACCGTCAGGTAAGACCGGGGGCAGTGTTTACAAGTTAGGGCTGGGCCATATCGTTCACGATGATGCCGGTAAAAAAAAGCTTGCCCTGGAAAATAATTTATATCACGATATACTAATTTCATGATGTCACTACGTCCGCCCCCCCCCCCCCCCCCCACACACACACACACACACCACCACCACCCACCTGTCAGTACTGGCTTAATACTAATTAGCTGCGCACAATAGTAGCTAGCTAAAAAGCTAAAAACAAACAATGCGTGATTCGGCTGCGTCTCCCCCGCTCTGAGATGCCGGTGCAAACACGCGCAGGTCTGTCTCTTAGTTCCACAGTCCATGGGCCAGGAACAGAGTCATGTGCTCAGAGACAGAGTCATGTGCTCAGAG